ACTGAGAAAATTCTGCAAATCATATTCTGATTTTACGAATTGCACTTACTTTAGATACAACTTCTTAAACATAAGTTATAGCAACTTAGTTTCTATTACAAATATTTCTTAAAAAGTCTACTTATTTCTATATTGAACGAAGATTAACTTTTAATTTAAAGTTTCTAGTCTGTAAATTATTAACCCAAAAATAAAAAATTTTTATCCCTATAAGAATGCCTAGAGCTATCGAGATCTGAGAAAAAAATCTATTGTTTTAAGTAAATAATTAGCAAAAAAGTTATTTCAGCACTCACCAAAAAAAAGTTAAATCCTATATTAATTGACATGAAAGCGTTTTGAATATATCAGTTGAACAACAGAAATAAATGATACTTAAATAATCTTTGAATATAAAATATTTGTGAATTAGTGACCCCCTGAAACACTACTACAGTGATGCATAATTACTCAAATTGTAACCAATTAGCGAAAGTATTCTTGAAGTAATCATACGCACTAATTATGTTTGGACCCCAAAAATTATTATTCTATGATAGTAGAAGTAAATAAACAAACTAATTAAACTCTTTTACAGTTTAACAGCCTATCAAACTAATGAGATTTTGTAAAAAACCAATGAGATTTTGTTGTTAGTAATGTGAAGGACCAACATGAGGTTGGTTCCAATATGAGGTCAATTAGTATCTAATGATTAGTAATCATAAAAATACTAATTGACCTCATGTTAGAACCAACCTCATATTGGTCCTTTACATTAAGGTTTAAAAAGGTCCAAAAAACAAAATTGGTAGATACATTTAAATCTCCTGAAATTAATGTATTCACAAAATTAAAAATAAAATGTGAGAGACTAACATGAGGTTGGTCCTAATATGAGGGGAATTAGTATTTTTTATGATTACAAATCATTAGATACTAATTGACCTCATATTAGAACCAACCTCATGTTGGTCCCTCACAGTATAAATTAAAGTTATTTGGAATTACTTATTCAAGAATTTAAATCTGATAGTTTTGATAGTTTAATTTAAAAGCATTGTGCTATCATGACCATCATTAGTGCAATAAATGTCAAATTCATCCTTTTGAATCTTATAGATAATTTTAAATAATTCAATGTAAAAATTAGAATAATGATAAAATCTTACATTCAATTTTTAAAATATACCTCATATCAATATTATTTTCAACAAGCAAAATTTTGAAATTGATGTCATATTTAAGTAAACTTTGCATTATATATATTTTTTAAGTATACTTGCTGATCTTTCGTAATATTTATGTTATAATTTTTTGACCAATATATAAGAATTTTTTTTTATTATTATTTTTTTTAACTTAATTTCTCACGCTTTAAACAAAGATTCAATACCAATACCTATAGATTTCTTTGCGATTTTTTCCTGAAAAATTCTATTATTGTTTGTTCAAGCTAGTTCCTATGATGTATTCTTGATCTTTGATCATATAATATCACCTATCAGTCACTAAAAAAAAAAATTATTATGAAAATAATCTTAAATAATATATCTTATTCAGAAAATTTAAATATTAAAGCTTTAAATACCTTTGATTATATTATAAAAAGTTTGTTACCTTCAAACTACAAGTATTTTGTAGAGTCGATTGAACAAATTTCACTACATGAATTCCTAGGTGCTTATGAAAAACCTTTTAAAAGTGAATTTCGCATAAATATTAAAACAATTGAAGATGTTAAACTATAGCTCCATAAATTCATAGATCTTCATAAAGTGATGATGCAAGAATCTCAAGGTCGTACTGTTAAAGGCATCTGTTATATTCTTTCAAAATAACTTCATTGTATTCATAGTAATATTGTGAAACTGAAACAAAGAAGAGATTTCAATTGTGAAAACAGCATAAGTAATGATATATACAGTAGAACAGAAAAAAGCAATGCTCACATAGAAAGTTCACAAATAAGGAATACAAATTGTCCAGTGACATTAAAAATCCAACTATTAAAAAAGACGATCCCTACTTATGTATCATTTACATACTTTTTCACCACAACCATTCCCTTAGATCAAGTTACGTCACAAGTTTTCGTTCAGTTTCTGATGAAACAAAAGACATAATCTTCAAGCTTTATGATATTAGACATGGTCCTAATAGCACGTATCATACTTATTGGGAACAAATGCAATTAAAGTATGCAAATGATGAAGAAATGTTAGCAAACAGAGCATTATTCCCATACAAAAATGATTTTAATTACCTTTATAAAAAATATCGTGACAAGCATATAGGTACTCAAAATAGAATTAACATGTTTAGTCAGTTAGAAGAGGAGATTAAAGAATTTAATATTAATAGAAAAGGAGACACATGGATGCAAAAATTTATTACATCAAACCAAAGTAATTCTGAACAACACTTTATTCTTGTTGTTGTAACAAATCTTATGAAATGTTGCCATGAGTTACAAGAAGCAGGAGAGTTGGTATATATAGATATAACAGCTGGGCTTGACGTTCTTAATACCCCTTTGACAATTCTTTCTACTAGTACATCTGCTGGTAGCCTACCACTTGCTGCTATTCTTACATCTGATGAAACAGAAGCTACTTTCATAAAGGCATTAGATATGGTAAAAAAGATAGTTCCATCAGTGGTATTTGGTAGACAAGGATCTATTATTAGACCACAGGTAGTTATAACAGATGATTGTAGAGCAGAAAAATTAGCATTGCATAATACCTAGCCAAATGCAACTTTGCTTCTTTGTGTATTTTATTTCTTGCAGGCCATGTGGAGGTGGCTTTGAGACAGTAAGCATGGTATTCATAATAACAACTATTCAATTTTAATTAGACATATAAAAAAAATAGTTTTTGCAAAAACAGAAATTGCTCTTAATATAGCATATTTAGACTTAATTAAGAGTAATATTTATCAAAAATATCCAACCTTTCAAAATCACTTTAAAATTTCTTAGGAACATCGCCATGAATGAGCTATTATATTTCGCTAACTACTTCCAATTCGTAATAATCATATCAACAACTTCGCTGAGGCTGGAATTAAAATAATGAAAGAAATTATTTTTAAATGGGTCCAAGCATATAATGTAATTCAGATTTTTTAGTTCATTATAAATACTATGGATCTTTATTATATTCACAGATTGTTGGCAGTAGTTTATAATAAATTAGATAATTTTATTGCCCTTCGCTTTCGACATTTCGAGTAGTTAATTGGAATGAAAGATGATATAGAAGTTGTAGATCCAGATTCACAGGTATATAGACATAGGAGTTGTAAAAATTCAAGTATATGGTATCTTGTAGACATGAGACTAGGAACGTGTGAATATAATCTAATAAGAGGACCTTGTATGCATCAGGCTTCTATAGCTAAACATTATAAAGTATGTAGGTTAAATCAAATACCTACAACGTCTGTAGAAAAAAGATATAACTACGCTTACTTAGCACTAGATGAAAAGTGCAAGTCTTTTAGCTTTTATACTGATCTTCATCAAGAAAAACTTGAAAAAGAATGAGGAAGTAAAATGGTCAATAAGGAGCAAAAATTCGAAAATTTTTTAGTTAGTAGTATAAATAAAAATGAGTCAGATAGTTCTGATGATGAAAATATGTTTATTTTATCAGAGATAGTTGATAGTAATAATAGTATTAATAAAAAGAGGCAAATTTGTAACTCTTTCCCATAGATCATTTTACCAAAACAACTGGAAAGAAAAAAATTAATTAAAATACTGAGAAGTGCTACTTAAATATACTAAAATTCTGGCCTAACAAGGCCAAACTACTACAAAGCAACT